CAATAGGAACATAAATTATACTTCCCTTATCAACTAATTATATTCCTGTCAATATTTTTTTATTTAACTAAAATATAATATGTACATAGGTACCTACTTATAGTTTATAATTAATACTGCAGAAAAATATAAAATCATACATTTTAGAAAATTAATTTTAACGGAGGAGAATTTATTTTGATTATGTTTCAATGACTAAACATATCACTCATATCAGCATACCGTTTGAAGAATTTGTTAAATGGGGCGCCTCGTACCTAAGCGCAATACGGGGTAGGAACTAGGAGGAATGAGGACTGAGTCCCACTGCTCTGCCGACTTCAGCAATTTAAAACCTACCTATATAATATGATCTAACATCAGCTAAAATGTATAGATTCACTCTTCCCGCTTATCTATTTTATTTAAATAACATTGAAGAAAATTATAAGTGTAAATATTAAAATATGTAGGTAATAGACTAACAGCCAATATAGGTACGTAGGTACTAATGTACTATGTATGTATATTTTATAGTAGGTATCTACAATATCATATCAATATCCAATTTATACTTAACAACTATAAATCTAAAACGTTGATAATAATATTAACGATTAACAGTGGCTACTGGCTAGGGCCTAGATTCTAGTTGAGCATTATATGGCAGTGTGGGGTGGTATTTAATCGACATTTCACAAATATTGACGCAAGAACTAATATTGCATAACTAGACAAGTTTTAAAGAGCAATAATAAATTCGTACAATATTATCCTAAAAATGGTTATTCTTTTAGACTAAAAGTTTTAGTACACGTCCACCATAGTAATATAATATATAAATGGTTATAAATTATAATTTTATATATACATTTTACTATTTAAAAATAAATGGTTTCCTACGCTTTATCAGATACTAACTGAATTATTTGGCATTGTCCGAAAAAAAATTGCGATTGTTCAACTCTTTTTGGGTGTAAAATGCTGAAGCAATGTCATTTTAAGTGTAAATTATATTATATTTGAATTTATGGCCATCCCGACAAAATGTAGCCTATCTACTTCCCCATGGTCTAATCTATCTCTGTACCAAATTCCATCTCAATCGGATGAATGGTTTAGGAATGCATAGTGGGCCGACGGACAAATATTATATATTTAAATTATAATATTATATAGATAGGCCAAATTGAACATAATATAAATGTTTAGGTTTAATTTGATTCAATTTTGAGATCAATGTTTTTCTCCTCTGAAAAAAAAATCCATATTAAGATTAAAACAATGCTTAATAGTTAATAAAAATACTAAATACTAAATAGTATTTAAATTTTAAATGCTTTGGTAATTAAATACAAATTGGCGTGAAAAAAATGCAAAAACACATTTCCGACCGTGACAGGACTCGAACCTGCAATCTTCGGATCCGAAGTCCGACGCCTTATCCATTAGGCCACACGGTCTACATGTCATGATCTCGGAAACTACTTTATTTAAGTGCATTTGTTTTATAAAATATAAAACAATACAATATCGACAAAATATTAATAATTAATTTATAGTACAAGTGCACAGGATCTATTCATAAATAGCTATTATAGTTTATAATTCAAGTTATAACCTGTCCTAACTTAAAACAGGTATAAAGTGCACCATTATAATATAAGTCCCACTAATCTCAGTTTGTAGACCGTGCCACCGTGGTGGTGTAGCAGCGTGTTAGGAAATTGGAAATATTATAATACAGCGGTGTTTTACACACTGATATTTTTATACATCTGTGGCTTTACATAATATTATTATTTATTTATTTATTTAATTATTATCTATCGACTATGTATACAATACCGTGTTACCATTGTGATACCATATCCGATCCACGACCGTGGTATGGTCATAGAATACTATAGAAACGACACTCTCCCGAAATCCTTTGTTCTGCCTGAATCAATTTGATAAGGTGCATAACTTCATGTTCTCCCGCTGTGTTCGCAACATCAACCATAGAATATTATCAAACCTATCTATATAATTTCCCGCCATTCAAAATAATTTGAATAACTTTAGTTTGTCTATTTAATGGGATATCAAGAAAAGAATGTACAATACAATATTTACATTATAAAATATAATTTTATTAACTAATGGCCTTTACTGTCAATGTTATTTTGATCAATAAAAAAAATATATATATATTCGCGATTGAAAGGAAATATAGGTAGCGCACTAGTCGATACTAATGATAAGGCTAACGGGGAACATGGTCGCCCGGTGGCCGAGGCCCGTGCTGTTTAGTCTACTTACTACTTTCTAGTTTCTACTTAGTTTACTTTGTCTACTTTCTAGTTTCTACTGCAAGCAGTAGTTGACGCTCACGCTAAGTTTATTGTAATAGAAGTTGGAGATTATGGTCGGTCTAGTGATAATGGGATTTTCAAAGAATCCTTATTTGGTAGACAATTAATTCAAAATAAATTAGATTTGCCAGCGCCCAGCACCCAAAAAAAATTGATCAAAATATTAATGAAGATTTCCCTTTTGTATTTGTTGACGATGAGGCTTACCTACTTTTACCTACTTTGATGAGACATTTCCCTCGTAGAAATTTAACAAACGAAAAACGTTTATGGTATATACAACTATCGACAATCCCGTGTGAGAAAAATAGTCGCATGTGCATTTGGAATTATGGTAAAAAGGTTTAACGTATTAGAAAATAAAATGCTAAACAGAACTGAAAAAACTGCAAAAATAACTCAGGCGATTTGTGTACTCCATAATTTAATTGTGACTAGAGTAGCTAACTTCCTTTGTACAACTCTTAATAAAATAGTTTTAAAAATAAAAAAATATACAGTGTATAGAAAATGAAAATATAAACATTCAGTTAAATTTTTATGTATATAGTTTTTGGTTTTTTTTTTTTTTTTAATTACAACAAAATAAATGTAATTAATTGTATTAATTTCCTACCTGTGGAACTGTGGTTAACACTGTGGAATAGAACAAGCCTTATGGGTATTATTAATTAGTATTTTTGGACTACTATTAAGGTGATAATTATGATCATACATCATACAACTAATAATATAATATTCATATAATATTACAATAAATTACAATAAATTATTTATTAATTCGTATTTCGTGTGTGGTACTGTAGACCAGTACATGTACTATACACATCTTCCCCGTTGTAATAGTTCTGATGACTTCCACAAGGTAGCGCCTGTTCCGCTTTCAATCGCGAATATTTACATTTTTATTTTTTAAGGACCATTTTAATGTGTAATTATACTCTTTTCAGAATAAGAAGGAACCAGGCGTCCACGGACAAAACCGGTTTTGTTACGTAAATCTGGTGCGTTCTTATTCTGAAAAGAGTATATTATTAATGTGTAATATCATGCAAGTGATAAGTGATATCCGCAGTTTGCAGTGATAATAGAGCAACCGACTGTTTATAACTTCATGTTCTCCCGCTATGCTTACAACATCAATCAGTCCGCTGCCAAAATGAAAAAAAGTGAAGTGGTGGGGGGAGTGTCGTTTCTATAGTATTCTATGGTATGGTCCACGATTAAAGATAGTATCTTTATTACTATCTTTAATCGTGGTATGGTCCATAGAGTATATAGAGGAGCCCTAATTGAAATAATATGAAGCGGAAATGCAAACAAAACAGTGTAGGCAAACTATAGAAAATATTTTATTGTATATGAACTATAATACAATATTTATTGTAATTTAATTATATTACTCATTATTATTACTCAATTATATCATATTGTTCTATGGTTATATTAACCTTTATTTATAACTATCAATATAATATTAATTATTATAATATTACTGAACTGAACTTGATTTGCACAAATACGTAAATACCTACTATTATAATATGTTATGGGAGGGTAGTAACTTTTTGGTGAGGAAATTATCAGTACTTAAATTATTGTAACACACCAGCATCTTAGGTTTGTTCTTAAAATAGTTCCTGAGTAAAAAGTATTATAACATATTCAAAATATTACATTGCTGGGATTTACGAAAAGTTGAAAATTAGCGCTATCTATCAGTTGCGTTGTTAGTTATTGGAAACCAAATCCTACATGTTTTGCTTCACATAATTCATAATACTTATTCTGATAGGGCATCTCTATATACTCTATGGTATGGTCATAGAATACTATAGAAACGACACTCCCCCCACCACTTCACTTTTTTTCATTTTGGCAGCGGACTGATTGATGTTGTAAGCATAGCGGGAGAACATGAAGTTATAAACAGTCGGTTGCTCTATTATCACTGCAAACTGCGGATATCACTTATCACTTGCATGATATTACACATTAATAATATACTCTTTTCAGAATAAGAACGCACCAGATTTACGTAACAAAACCGGTTTTGTCCGTGGACGCCTGGTTCCTTCTTATTCTGAAAAGAGTATAATTACACATTAAAATGGTCCTTAAAAAATAAAAATGTATATATATATATATATATTTTTTTTTATTGATCAAAATAACATTGACAGTAAAGGCCATTAGTTAATAAAATTATATTTTATAATGTAAATATTGTATTGTACATTCTTTTCTTGATATCCCATTAAATAGACAAACTAAAGTTATTCAAATTATTTTGAATGGCGGGAAATTATATAGATGGGTTTGATAATATTCTATGGTTGATGTTGTGAACACTGCGGGAGAACATGAAGTTACGCACCTTATCAAATTGATTCAGGCAGAACAAAGGATTTCGGGAGAGTGTCGTTTCTATAGTATTCTATGGTATGGTCACAGAATAGGGGAAATTATAAGAGATAATAACTGATAAATGATAACATTTAATCATATTTTGTTTTTAGAAACTAATTTTTTAAAACAAAATAATGAAGAAAATATAGAAATTTTAAATTAATTTTAATTTAATTTAACCCATTCTAAAAAAGAATATCTTTGTTTTCCACATTATTATTTATTTATAGTTAATTAATTTATATTTTGTTAAGAATGGCCGCACACGAAGGGCTAGATTATGATCCTGCCGATGGACATTATTCTGATGTTGTGTTAACCATTAGAATACTAATGGGAAAGGTACAAATATATGAATTTATATTATCAGTCATTTTGGCTATATAGTTATACATTTTTGTGGAATATTCTATAGACTAATGAGTAATGACGGCTTGCATAACCAACCACTAAACATTAAATAAATCAATAGTGAGCTAATTATTTAATGGCATGATTGGCTCATTAAATTTTAGTAAACCATTAAACAAAACAATTTTATATGACACCCTTACTATGTATAATATTATATAATACTACTTATACATAAGTCTAATACTAAATTGTATAAAAAAAATGATGAATTGAATGGTTTACTGAAATTTAGTCGATCAATCATTTTTAAGTGGCCAATATTGATTTATTAGATGTTTTGTAATGTAACTTAAAACATCTTTTAATCATCATAATTCATTGTATTTATATCAATTGTTTTAGGAAATCCTTCCACTTATTGGAGAATATGGAGAAGTTGTTAGAGATCTTAGAAACCAAGTAATTATACATAAGTGTTTATGCAGTACACCAGTATACCATAGGTGCAAAATGCAAATAGGCCAACTTTTTGGGAGAACTGACTCAAGTGCTTCTTAATATTGGTTTAAAAAAATATGGAGTGTAACCCCATCATTCCGCTCTCCCCTTCAACTATAGTCTGTTATTGAGATACAAATACAAATTATTACTTACATAATTTACATTTAATATCTATACTACCATAAGAGCGGGATACTTTGCTCCAAATATATTTCTTTTTTAGTTTAAACCTATACTATAGCTTCAATAACAAAGATAAAAATTACAAGTTTGAGTTGTTTTATATGTATAGATGTTGAGAGTTAAGAACAATTCAAAAAAATCCGAATTTCGTACTAGTGACTTACTTACTTATTCCCAAAAGTTTGGAGCAAAGTTAAAATACATTGCAGGTTATTCACAAATGCACAATGATAAAAATTACCTTACTTTAATGCATATAATAACATTGGTGCAATGTTTAGTGCTTGTGTTTTAACTTATTTGAACCTATACATAATAATATAATTTTTTTTTTTTAGTTGATTTTTAGTCTTTTTTTAATACATTTTAAATTAAATTTCAATCACCTAGATTTTGGATAACTTTTCCATTATGTGTTTTTGTGTTTTTGAAAACAATTTTTTTCATGACATACATCTTTTAGGCAAACTAATTGATGTTCAAAATGTTTGAAAAGATTAGTAAGCTTATTAAGAATAATATAAAAAAACTACAATCTCTTATCTCAAAATCGTAATATGCTATGATTGATATCAATAAATATTTTTTTTTGAGCAATGTTTAACCCCTAGAGTAAAGTATCCTGCTCTTACGGTATATTGAGCAAACTTAGTAAAATATACAGCTGAAAAACATATAATTCTCTCAAAACATTTTCTATGGAAAACACAACAACCCTTATTGTGTTTACAAAATTAAAATTATTTTTTTCAATTACATTTATTGGTTAAAATTTAAAATTGTGAAAAAAAGTATATTTATTAATTTATGTCAATGGAAAATACTAGCACATATTATCTGTATGATAATTTTGAGAAATTTATTTATTTGAGTTTCCAAATGAAATAAATTCAAAAGTACATAATTAAAAATATAATATATTAGATAATGTACAAATTGTTCATACCTTCAATATTTTACAAAAAAATAGCATAACTTTAAGTTGTGATGAAATGATTTAAAAATCAAGTTGGTAATCGTTTAATTATATTTATTTAGTCAGCAAATACCATTTTAGTATTATATTATTATTACCTAAAAATACATGACAAAAATATATTTAATTAATTAATTATGTATTTTATTCTCTTTTATTTCATTAATAGTCTGAAGCAACAATTACTATCACTGATAGCTCAACCCCAGAGCGTATAGTGACTGTCACTGGGAACATCAATATAATACAAAAAGCATTTGCATTAATTACAAAAATTTTAGAGCAGGTAAACCAATTCAATAAATGTATTAAGTAATGGATAAAATATATTTTACTTTTTGTCTTGTTAACATAAAAATTAAATAGATGGTTAACTTCTACCATAGTATAGACTATAGATATTGACTTTACCCATATGTACAAAAAGAATAACTCTTACCATTCATATTAGTTTTATTCATTTACTATAGGTATAGGTAGTGGTATACACTATACATTTTAAATTTTAATTATAACACTACATTAATAATACATTGAACAACAGTAGCAATACTATTATTATTTATTTACTGTGTTTGGAAATTGTATTTTTATTATTAAATTGTTCATTTAATATTATGTTTGTTTTTTGACTTAAAGCAATCTAATAGAAATTAATTTTCTGTATGCTGGTATCTCAAAGTCTGCAATATACAAGTCATCTCAAAAATAGTTTTTAGAATTGTTCATTTGATTTATTGAAATAATATCATATTCTGTGTTACTTTTATAATTTCATTACATAACATGTCTATTAAATATTAACATATTATTTGTTATTATTAAAATTATAGTCAGTGTGGTTAGATAATGAAAATATAAAACTTCTTTAATTAAATGATTTTATTTTTTACAATATTTACAGAATTCCCCTACACACCTTCAAAATAGTCGAAAACCATCGAGTAATAATTCTACGACAATAAAACTTATTGTACCTGCCTCTCAATGTGGATCATTAATTGGAAAAGGAGGTGTAAAAATTAGAGAAATACGAGAAGCTAGTGGAGCTATGGTAAATGTAGCATCAGACCTATTACAAAATTCTACAGAAAGAACGGTTAGTATTAGTGGTACTGCAGAAGCCATCACCGAGGCAATTCATCAAATATGTATTGTAATGTTAGAGGTATGTATAAAAGTAGTGATAATTATTACTGTTTTATATTAATTGATAATCTAAATGTTCGTTATTATGTTAGACACCAGGAAGAGGGCCTACAGTTGCTTACAGACCTTTTGTGTCACAACCAGGGCCTGTAGTACTTTGTGGAGGTCAAGCCTATACTCTTCAAGGATCATTAGCAATTCCAGCAGTTGGTGATGTAAATATATAGTTTATGAATTAAGGGGATTGCAAACAGACAATATTATCTCAACCAAAATGTACCAATATTTTGTCAATCATACCGATGAACCAGATAACGAGATAAGACTTCTGAAAACTGATTTCAGCCACTTTTTTAAAATTTAAAATTAAATATCTTAAAATGTAGCCTGATCAATCTCAAGTAGACATATTAACGAATTCAAATCAGTTTTTAGAAGTCTTAACGCGTTATCGAGTCCATTGTTAGGATTGACAAAAAGTACGTACAAATGAGCATAAATTGCTTACAGTTTATGTGTGGAATGCCGTAGCAGTGATTTGTACGTGCGAGTCTGGGAGCGCACATACACATTTACAAGACATACGTGCATACAATTTGAAAATTGCTTATTTTGAATTCATAATAACTGTCGATTTGCAATCCCTTTAATATTATGTTACATAAATTTATTTCACAGCAAACAGCTTCAAATGCAGCATTAAATACTATTGCAAGTATAGCCCCAAATTTAATTGCCGGTTCTGGATTAGATCCATCAGGTATTTTAAATTGTTTTTATATTCCAACCTTGGTAATTATTATATAATGTTTAAATTAATTATTTTTTTAGTGCTTGCTGCATTAGCGGGTAGTCAGTTGCGAGGTGGTGGTGTCGGTTCAAAAACTTCACAACAGCATATTACACATGAGATGGCTATTCCCAATGACATAATTGGGTGTATTATAGGTAAAGGAGGAACAAAAATTGCTGAAATTAGGTAATTTTTTTATGTAAACTACTTTCATTTATATTCTATTTTATAAAATAATCATCGCTAAATAAACATCGATTTGTTGTAGGTGATATACAGGGTGATTCTTTTATCATGAAACACTCATTATTTCAAAAAGTATTAATATTTTTGAAAATATTTTTTTACATGACTTCAAGTTGTTAAAAAAACAACGTTTTTATCATAAAATTATATGTTTAAATATTTTTTATCATCAGCATGCATCATATTATTATATACTTCTGGCCCAAATTTTATGTCTCCAAATACAAAATTAAAAATTATGTTATCTTAGGTGCAGTCCAAATTAAAAATAAAATAAATATTATAATTATTATATATTATGTATATACAGAAGAATAAGTGGAGCCATGATAAGAATTTCAAATACTGAAGAGCATGAGGCTTCTGGAAAAATGGAAAGAGCTATAACAATTAGTGGACAAGCTGATGCTGTTAATGTGGCTAAAACATTGATTAACTTAAGGTTGGTAATAATTTAATATTTGATTAGATGCAATAATGTATTTATTGTTTTGTTGACAGCGTTGATCAGTATAATAAATCATCTGGAGAATCAGTGGATTATGATGAAGAATTTCCATCTAATTTTACAGCAGATGCAAAAACAACGACTGAAACTTTGGCAACATTATTGTCAAATCCAAATGGTTTAGGGGCTTTAGGAGCATTGACCGGACTCAAAGAACTATTAGGAAGTATTAACAATAAAAAACAAATAAATAAGAAAAGAGATAAAAATGATAAATTTTCACCTTATTGAACTATGTACATGAAATATCATTTTATAATTTAAGCAAATTTTTAACTACTTGTATTGATTCCACATGTATTTTATTTTTTAATATTACTGTAAAACTAATTAAAGATAATGATTGAATATATAGTTCCAAAACAAGTCTATTAGGTAACTAATAATTATTGCATTATAAATATTTCCTTTGAAATTTTGAATTTGTACAATACTAATAATATTTAATAAGGTAACAAGTGTTTTATGCATAAACATTATATTATTTTGTGTTATACTATTATTAAAATTGTTGATGGAATTTATAATTGATTAATATTCGTACTTATGTACTACATTATATATTAATCCGTCGTTGGTATCGCTATGTAAAGTCCCGCCATTGGTATTGAGTGAGCGCTCACCTCGTTGTTTATTAATCATTATTTATTATATAATGAACATAAAATATTGAAACCAACAACAAATTATTTATATTTTAATCTTTTACAAAACATGTTCTTACAATTTTTCTTAATTATAAATTGTTAACCACTAAAAATAAATTTATAATTTTTTATTCATAATATAATCATTATCATTCAACTTGGCCCTAGTAGTCTGGAATATTTTGCTGATTATTATACAGTATGCATATGAATATTGTTTGCTCTTTAAAAATAGGTCTAAGTTTACGAAAAAGTATTAGGTCGATAGCGTCGATCTATTGAGTGAGTGCAACGCTCAATTTATGGATATTAACAACATTGCACGTCGATATCTAATTAAGAATTTTTTATAAAATTATTATATTTGCAAAAGTATATTTAAACATATGTCTTGTATCATGTGATTGAAGGTATAAAGAGTATCAGATGAATCAAGTATTAAATAAATAAGTAGTTCTCAAAATACTAACAAGGTGGGGAGCGACGGTTTAAATAAACGCTGTGTCTATACGCCCGACCATGCTGTGTCTATAATATAAAATATAAAAACATTAATAATAATATGGAAAAAGTACATTAGATTTAGGTAAGATACATAATATATTCATTAATTTATTTGTTTGTTGTATTTATATTTTATAACCTGTACAAAACCAATAGGTACGAGCCTGTGCGTTTTGATTTTATATTAAATCCAACACAAGTAGCATCGTACCATACTAGGCAAGAATCACACAAAACACACTCCGATCCAATGTCATGATTACAAACAGGGCATATCCATGTCATATTTTTTTTTTTTGCTTTTATTACATTTAGTATGGCTTTCCATGCATCTTTGGTGCAGTAAGGTCTTATTGTATGGATATCGACGTCTTCTTCCATAATACCGTTACAAATAAGTTCATGGCGGCATGTCCATCAATTCAATTACTTCAGATTTGGTCTGAGGAGCTAATCGGCGCTGATTTGGTATATTTGAAAACAACATTGAAGACATTGCATGGTTATGGCTTTCATCCATTTGTGCAATTTCTAATTTTAAACCATCACTAGTTACTCCGGTTACTCGTATATACATGAATGCAGGACAATTTTATTTCATAGTAGATACTAGATAATGGTTCGTATGTATTAAAAATAATTTATAAATAATTTGGTAATTAATAAACACACTTACGATGTGGATCGTTGCTGTTTATTGTTAGCACTTAGCACTATTTTTGTATGTTCCTCATTTTTTTTTTGGGGGGGGGTTGTCCAATAACTTTGACATAATCTGAAATGATCTAATTTTAATAGATTATAAGAATAGAAAATATACCTAGTTGTTTTATTTTTTTTTTTTTTTTTGTAAACTTCGTGGGCTAATTTGAACACAAGTATATTTTATAATTTTAAAGTAAAAAATTTAATCGTTTTTTTTTTTTACAAAGTTCATCCAAAATTTCTTGTGGTAAAAGAGAATCTTTTAAATTGTAGAAGTATAACATTATGACAACAATCATGCATATCACCATTGGCGCAAATAGGGGACTAGGGGAGTGACTATAAGTCCTCCCAAATGTCGGTCAATTCCCCCAGTTCAAAATTTAGTAATTAGGTAGTACTAATTTTTATATTCTGTGGTACTAAGCAATATGGCCTAAAGGGAGGGGGGCTTGAGTCCCCCAAAAAAATTTAGTCAATTTGCGCCTATGCGTATCACTCGCTAATCTCTGGACAGAAAATAAATAGTACGTAGGTAAACATGGCCCTCGCAAATTACAGGGGCGCCATTTCAGTTTTTTTTTAAAGTGTGCAAACAATTAAAGAGGCCAATTTTTTCCCACCTCCAGGCCAATCGTTAAAAAAACGTTTCTAGTATTTTCAGTTTTTCTCAGTGATCTCATGATAATAAACGTGGAAAAGGACGAGGCCAATAAAATAGATTTAAATAAAGCTGTGGATGATTTTGGGAAAATGAAGAATAGGAGATATCCACTTTTTTAATAACTTTTAGTACTTTTACTGTTATACTTATTTACTTAGTTAAAGTACATACCTAATTAGTTTTTGTATTTCTTTTTATGTTATTGTTTAATACAAATATTATTAAATATATCTTTTTTTATTTATATGAAATTGGTTAAATATGTTTAAAAAAAAAGTATTAATGAGTATTTTAATATTAAAATGTGGGGATATGAGACATGAGTGAGCGAAGCGATCGGAAATTTTTTTAAGTTCCGCTAAATAAACAGGATATATAAATGGCCTGGTGGAGGGAACAATTGGCCTGATTCAAATGTTTGCATCCCTATTGAAAAGTTGAAATGACGCCCCTGGAATAGATGCGTATTATTATGTCTGTTTTTTATCAATAACCATTTACCAATTACACATATTTGTGTGTGCCAGTGGATAAAGTTCAATTATCAAATTGAAGAACATAATAATATTATAATATAATTTATGATTATCAGTGAATAGCTGCGGTGCATGTACAATTAAAGATAAGCAAACTGAAGGCCATAGTATTAATGAGGCCTAGGCCAATTGTGGACACCAAAATTACAAGGTGTGCGAGTGCACACCCTGCCCCCCCCCCAAATGGCGCCCCTGGCAAATTACATTGATGTTATTCTTCTTCTTCTTCTTCTTCTTCTTCAGCTTATCGGCCCATTAAGTGCCATCGCTGCCATCACCAAACCTCTCCATTTCTCTCTATCGTATGCGGCGTCAAAAGATGACGCTTCCTCTATGCTTTTTATATCTTGAGCTATAACGTCCACCCATCGGGTCCTTGGTCTTCCTAATGGACGTTTTTTATTTATTGTGTTAATTAAAACTTCTTTTATTACTTGTCCATCCGCTCTCCAAACATGACCGAACCATTCCAGACGCTTGCTTCTTATATATGCAATAATATTTGGCCTGTTATATAACTCCTGTAGTTCTTGATTATTCCTTCTTTCATAAGTTTGCGATTCTGCATCGAATTTCGGGCCGTATATATTTCTCAGTACTTTTCTTTCGAAGGTCATTAGCCGTTTGCTGTCTCCTTTGGTCAGTGACCATGTTTCACTCGCGTATGTGATTATTGGTCTTAGATAGCTATGATACAGTAGTGTCTTTGAATTACGTGACAGTAGTTTTGATTTAAGGAGTCTCATTATGCTATAGTAGCATCGATTGCCACATGCTATTCGATCATTGATTTCTTCATGCATGTCGTTGTTGCTATTTATGTTAACACCTAGGTACTTAAATACCTCCACTTTCTTGAAACTATAATCATCTACTGTTATGTGGTCTGTGTTTGGGCTTCTTCTTGCTACCATTAAGTATTTCGTCTTTTCCTCATTTACACGCAGCCCTATGGTTTTACTTGCTTTCAAGAGTTTGGACGCAGTATTCATGACTTCGTCTCTAGTTTCTCCCATTACCACAATGTCATCTGCGTATGCCAATATTACTCGTTCCCCACATATTTCCATCTTTCGACCGTCCCATACTTCTCTCATTGCTTTTTCTAATGCTAGATTAAACAAGGTGGGTGATAGAGCATCACCTTGTCTAAGGCCTGATTTTACCTCAAAAGTTTCAGACATTTCTTGAAGGAAACGGACTCTGCACACAGTTCTGTTGTTACACCCTTTTATAAGGCTTACGTACTTTTTAGGAATGCCTAGAACTTCCAGTGCTTCCCATAGTTTGTCCCTATTAATGCTATCATAAGCTTGCTTATAATCTATAAATATAAGGTGCAGTTCTTTATCAAATTCATAGAACTTAGCCATTATCTGTCTCAGTGTAAAAATATGGTCCAATGTCGATTTACCTTTTCTAAAGCCGCTTTGATACTCCCCGACTATTTCGTTAACATATGGGTTAATCCTTTCTAATATTGATGACGTATACACTTTGTAACACGTGTCTAAGAGAGATATACCTCTGTAGTTCTTTGTCTTGGTCGGGTCCCCCTTTTTTAATATAGGACATATTACTGCAGTATTCCAGTCCTCTGGGAGGGTTTCTTTATCCCATATAATTGAGATCATTTCCATAATTTCTCTTCTTATTTCAGTACCACCTTTTTTCAGTAGCTCAGCCACTATATTGTTTTCCCCAGGTGCTCTATTGTTCTTAAGCTTATTAATTATATTGTCGATTTCTTCTCGTTCTGGTTTTTCTATCATTGGTTCTGCTGTATGGTAATAGATCGTTTCGTTGCCTTCCTCTACTACTGGTTGATTTAAGAGCTGATTAAAGTATTCTTTGAAATGGCTCACTACCTCCTTCTCTTCTGTGATTAGGTTTCCGAGATCATCTGAAAGTATTCTTGTTTGTGGTTTGAAACCAGCTTTGATACTTCCGCTTTCTTTGAAAAACTTTCTAGTATTGGATCTATTTCTTTCAATTTCCTCTATCTTTTTCTTTTCATGCAACCGTTTCTCTCTCCTCAAAATTCTGTTTGTCTGTCTACTTTGTTCTTTGAAAATATTAATATTTTCCTGTGAGGAATTTTGCAACATTCTCTTTCTCAGTTCATTTCTCTTGGTTACGGCATCACTACATAAATCATTAAACCAGTCTTTTTTTCGCTGCTTATTCTCCATTCCCAAAACTTGATTTGCACTGTTAGTTATTACATGTTTTATTTGTGTCCATCTACTGTTTACACAAACGTTCTTGTCATTCATCTTTTCTATGTGACTCTTAGTTCTTTCTAGGTTGTGTCGTAGATTTTCGGCATACTTTCTACTTATTTCGATATTTTCTAACGATTGTACATTGAATCTTTCTCTGGCTTTTTTCGATGCCATTCTCCATTTCACTGATAGTCTTATAATGAACTTTGCATACAGTAGGTAGTGGTCGGTATCTGCATCGGCTCCTCTATACGATCTCACCTTCTGAATGCAGCTACCATGCCTTTTGTTTATTAGTATGTGGTCAATCTGATTTTTCGTCCTACCATCAGGTGACTTCCATGTATGCTTATGTATGCCTTTCCGGGGAAAATATGTGCTACTAATTATAATGTCTTTCGAAGAAGCAAAATTGACCAGTCTGGTTCCGTTGTTATTACTGATGTTATGTAAGCTGTCTGGTCCTATTGTTGGTCTAAACCTATTTTCTTTTCCAACTTTCGCATTGAAATCTCCTACTACCATTTTTACACAATGTACCGGTAAACTATCATATAATGCTTCCAGATCTTCATAAAAATTGTCTTTAAGGTCTTCATTTTTATCTTCCGTTGGTGCATAGCAGTTTATTATGACTAGGTCAAATAGCCTACCCGCTATTCGGATGTAGCAAAGCCGATCTGAGACTGCTGAAAAATGTTTTATGCCTGGTAGTATTTTGTCCTGTATCATAAAACCCACTCCATTTTCATGTTTACCATTTTCAGATCCGCTGTAGAAAAGAGTTGATGTTTTTATTAATTTCATTGATGTTATTATTAAAAATAATATATTCCTTACGAGTTACGGCTCACATTAGATCAATGAGCTATTATTATTATTATTTACTAATTTATTGTAAAATATACAATAAATTTGGTAGGTACTTACATAATTACCTACATACGTAATATAGCCATAGATATTATCTATTTTAATTTTTATTGAAGAAATATGAACCGTACTTGTAGCCGCCGCTGTCGTTCGGTAACGAAATACAAACATAAACACTATGAAGTAAATGATTCTACGACAATTGCCTTGTTTACAAAACAAAAATTAAAATAGATAAATAATAGCTACTTATAGATATAGTTTATTGGAGAATGGTGTGCGTCGTCCATTTCTTGCAATGTTTAGACTGTTTCGAGAATTATTGTGATGTTTATCTAGTAAGGGTATTTTATAAAGTGGTAATACATATACAAATATACGATACAAGGAAAAGTTTAGCTGGCGGGTTTTTGAGCGTTCGACGGGGTCAGTTAGCTAATTTTAAAATTTTTATTTTATATTTCCTATAAATATTTTGTTCAAGGGAAAAAAAACCATATCCGCGTGTGCTCAGTGCTTACATAAACCCGGGTCTGTAAATATGTAAAAATTTTTAGTTTTATTTTTTTTTTTTGGAGAGGTACCGGGGGGGGGGTCGAGTACCCCTACAATGTTTATGTAAGTACCTACAACTATTTAAAAAAAATATAGTAGGTAGTAGGTACTACAGTGGGTTAAATTCATTTTTTTGTCGAAAAAATTGCATTTAAAAATGTGTGTATAAAATATAATAATATACCAACTCTAAAAGTTTGAAGTAGGTACCCGCGATTAATATTTTTAAATTACAACAAAATAACTAAAATCGTTATTCTTGGTTTTATTATATGTAATTTGGTCTAAATTTTAACTTACAATAACTAGGTATAAAAAAAACTTACATTTTTTGCTACAAAATTAAATACTTACTTGGGTCTTGGAAAATTGTTTTAAATTGTCAATCTTTAACTATGAAAATTTAACATTTAATACATTTTTAAATACAAAATAATTTATACATTTTCAATTTGATGCATTTTGTAAGAATTTAAACTTTAAATAGTTTAAATGCTTATAAAAAAAATATTTCCAAAGTATTTTTAATATTTTTAAACTGATATTGTCACAATGTGTTTTTGATCCAAAGAATACAATTTGATTAACATTTATAAAAAAAAAAAACTAAAAAAATCAGCTCAAATCGAGTCAAAATATTTTGAAAATTGTATTATTAATTATAAAAATGATTGAATAAACATTTGGTATACCTACATTTCAAGTAAATACGCCCTACGGTTATTTGTTGTTGAATTATAACAAAATAAGAAAATCATTCCAAGGGAAATTGAGTGAATTTCTAACGTTATAAAAATTTAAATTTCAAACTCCCATAAAAAAAATTGCTGTAGATTTACACTCAACTTTTTGAAAAATGTATAAAAAACGGTTTATAAATAAATAATTAATTCAATATTTATATAGCAAATGCCAAATATCATTTAATATAATATATACCTATACACCTACCTCCTATTTATCAACATTATAATAATAATATAATAACTATCATTCAAATTTTATATTTTTTTATTTTTAATAATTATTACTTTTGACAGCTGTATGCCTGTATCCAACAGTTTGCTTTGGGGATTTTTTTCTCTAGACTCCTATTTGTTTGGTTTTCATATTTATAATATTAATTGCAGTTTAATAATATTATTTTATTATTTCTCCATAGAAAAATTGTGTTTTTTTCTTCGCTATAAAATTCGGGGCCCTTATATCTTTTTTTTAAACTTCCTAAAATTAGGAAAGAGTTCTACATTAGATACAAAACATATTTTCAAAAAATTTTTAGACAAAATAATACATGCATAAAACGTTAAAATATAAACTATAATAAATTTAGAATATTGTTATAATTATTATGATCATCCTATATGTCTATTGTATAATATTCTACCTATATGGGGCTTGGGGCTATATGTCTATATTAGTGTAATAATTTTTGATATTTATTGGTCTACCGGTATACGTATTACTGTTCTATGGTATTAGCCATTAGGTATACCTTCACGGCTTTACCACAGAATAGATGAAATTAGAAATAGATAGAATTTCATACAGGAATACAGCGACACGGCGTATAGACGTTACAGTCGTTGCACTTTTGATTCCAAGTACTAATTTACTATCGAACACTCAGTATCTACCCGTCAAATTTCTTCTGTTAGATATTTGCCCACCTGCATAACAGGACCCACCACCCACCCATTTAAAAAGGGTGGCGGTCGCCACCCTTACTATATAGGTTCGGCGCCACTGGGTATACGTATTACTGTTCTATGGTATTAGCCATTAGGTATACCTTCACGGCTTTACCACAGAATAGATGAAATTCTATCTATTTCTAATTTCATCTATTCTGTGGCTTTACCTTGTTATTTTGAATAATCGTCAATCGTTGAATCGTGTCATCATTCTCCGGCATTATCTTGTTAGCCTTATCATCAGCCAACCAAATTCGATTACATGTAAGCAGGTAAGCACGTTGAGGTTAGGACGTATCACGTTATTGTATGTGGTATGTTATTGTTATCTTTTACTTTTAAGTTTTAATGTTTACATGTTTATGACGGGCGCATTGGACAGTAAATATTAAATTCTGACAATCAGACATTTATATAGTAATTTATTGTGAAGTACCTATCTATGTAATATTATATTCAAAATTGTAAATGTGTAATGTGATAATATGTGTATAATAGAAAATATTAATTTTTGTTTAATGTTTAAATGTTTATAACCTTTTTTTACGCATTAAATGTTACAGCGTTATGAATTATTTTCATTAAACTTGTTTTATTTGGGATACTTGTATTTCACCTAAGAAACTTATAATTAAAAATGGCGAACATTTATGAAAATGATAGATATACTTCATTGGAATATAACCGTAGTAAGATTTATTTTTATTTTGTTTTACTAGTAAATATTTTTGTTACAAACACAATATACAAATATACAAAATCTATATAAATACCTGTACTTATTGAATATATTATTTTTTCTACAGGAAGAAAGAATCCATCTGTACAACAGAACCGAAAAAAAAATAAACGGAACTATATAAATAATGGTAAATACCTAGGTTTTTAAAAAAAATATAGGTAAACATTATAGTTTATCTCCTCGGTGGCAAAGCAAGTTTATGGACAAAATTAAATTTCAAATAAGAATTGTTCCATATACTTAATAGTTAAATAACCAGGGAAAAAGCTAAAACAAAAAAAGCTTAACTAACCATAAATATCCCTACTTCAGTGTCCCTACCAAATTAATTAGACATTAAAATATTTCCAATTTATTACTTATATCAATTTAAGATTTATTTAAATTTTTTTCATTATATCTTATTAATTGACTTAGTTCTTAATTTTTTTTTCAGAAAATTATCATCAAGCGAGTAGTAATAATAATAGTAAAATAGATACTAAATATTAACAAAAAAAAATATATATATAAAGTAAATAAGTTTAAAGTGGTATTAATTCTGATTAATTTGTAATTTAGAATTAATCTTCATTTGGAATAATAAATGTTATATTGATATTATTTTTTTTATTGAATAGTTAACCGGTGTTATTAGAGCTACAAATTATTTGATTTATTGAAATCTAGGTATGGTGCATTAACAATATACTTAATTCTATCCTTTTTAAAATATATAGTATATTATTTATTAATATTCCTTTTTATAATAATGTAAAATTACATATGTTTTTAATCAAATAATTATTTACTTTATGAATTATTACATTTATTATTTCAAGTTAAATTGTTATTAATAATTTATGTTATGTTTCAGATTCATCAAATTTTTATTTTATAATCGGTTTGTTTTGTGTTATTTTTTTATTCGCACATGAATCAGAAAATAAAAATTCTAAAAAAGGGAAATATGTTACGACTATGATTGATACAAAATGGAGTATGGTACCACTTGTTTTAGAAATGGCAGAATATATGGCTGAAGAAAATCCTTATTCTTTATGGTTGTTTGTGGATAGTATATCACAGCTTAATCCAGCTTTAAGTGAACTTGGTATAGAATAAGCATACATTATTTATATAATTTGTATTATAATTATAAAATATTTAATCTTTAATACAATTTTTGTAGATAATGATCAAATCAAATACCAGACTGCATTATCTAAGGCTGGATTATTATTATCCAACTCTAAGTTGAGACTATTAAAATTTTCTCTATCCATGCATACATATTCACCACGTATTGAAATGTATGCACAAATGGCAGCTGATAGAGGAGTGCAGTGTTCCACTTCTGTAGAAATTGATGGTGAACTTGTGTGTTCAGTTGAAGAGTTAAAAAAAGTTTTACAACGAATAAGTGTTAGTTTTTGTTTAGTCTTATATAAGCACCATTCATTTTTTTTTAAAAATAACACTATATTTTTTATAGGCTGAAGGTTCAAAACATTTGTGTGAAACATATCATATAGATCATCATCACCCTTCTTCTAAAAACAGAAGTAACATAGCAATATTGTATGGTGAATTAGGAACAGCAGAATTTGCTTCTTATCATACAGTATTAAAACAATATGCTCAAGAAGGATCTATAGACTATGTTTTACGTCATTTTGTAAAAGTAATTTGTTTAATATACGTTATAATTACAATTGCATGTTAGATTGTAAGGTGTAATCATGTTAACCAATAATTTATGTATAGGAAAAGAGTGAACAGAAGGTCCGCCTATCTGGTTATGGTGTTGAACTTCATATGAAATCAACTGAATATAAAGCAGAAGACGATAGTGTAGTCAAAGATAAAAATGATATGAATAGAAATGAAGATGAGGAAGATATTTCAGAAATTGAAGGATTTGATTTTAAACGCCTTATGTAATTTTAATTTATTTTAGTAGTATTTACTGTTTACTATTGATACTGATGAACTTTTAATTATTTAATTTAGTGAGTTATACCCTGATAGAAAACTGGATTTATTAAAATTCAGAACTCATTTATCTGAGGTTAGTGGTGAACTAGCCCCTCTTAAGGCTTGGCAATTTCAAGAATTGAGCCTACAAGCAGCACAGAGAATTATGAGTGGTCCACCTCAAGATGCTGTTCAAACTTTTATTCACATTGCTCAGAATTTTCCAACTCAAGTAATGTTGAACAAAACTGTAATCCACTATTTAAAGTATGATTTTCATGTTAATTTATTTTAGGCTAGGTCATTGGCCAATGTTAAAGTTAGCAAAGAACTAAGAGATGAAGTATCAAAAAACCAAGATAGTTTTTCAATGGGATTGAATTTACAACCTACTGATACAGTTTTATTATTAAATGGAATGTATTTTGATATAGACATCACAGATATGTCAACTATATTAGATTCAGCTACTCAAGAATTGAGTATAATGGAAGGGTTATATTCTATAGGTAATTTATATTTTTTTTACTCATAAAAAAATATTATAATTGTTTATTTTTTATAGGCATTACAGACAAAAAAGCTATTTCTTCTATGTTGGCGTTGGATTTTGGAAGTGTTAAAGGAAAGTCATATGCTGTAGATATTAGGGATTCTGCTATTCAATGGATAAATGACTTAGAAACTGATGCTATATATAAGAGGTGGCCTTCATCAGTTGATGATTTGCTTCGACCAACATTTCCTGGCATGTTACGAAGTATTCGACGTAACCTGTATAATCTAGTAATAGTTTGTAATCCAGCTTCTAAAAGTTCATGGCCTTTACTAAAACTAACTGATTCATTTTTAAACCATCAAAGCCCTTTACGAGTTGGGATTGTATTTAATGTTTCGCCAAAGCCAGCTATAGGACTAAACGATGCTAGTGTAGCTATATTGAATGCTTATAATTATATTGTTGAGCAAACATCTAAACCATTATCTGCATTTAATTTCATAACCAATATGTATACATCTATTAGTGAAGACAGAGATGTTATTGTTGATGATGTCTTAAATGAATTCAAGAAGCAGTACCCCAAAGCAATTATTGATGAAATATTTGGAGAAGACAGTGATTACGATACTGCCCAAATACTGGCAAAAGAGTATATTGCTAAGACAGGGTTTAGAAAATTACCTCAAGTACTACTTAATGGGGTTCCATTACAAGAAAAATCTTTAGTGGAAGAAGACTTTGAAGAAGCTGTTTTAGTAGAATTAGTAACTCAAACGCAGACTTTACAAAAGGCTGTATACAAAAGAGAATTGACTGATACAGACAATGTTGTAGATTGGTTAATGACACAACCAAATGTAATGCCAAGGTAATTTACCAAAAAAAAATTAATATTATTTACAATTAATTGTATGAAATTATATATATTTATCCACACAATAATTGTTATAGACTGAATTCACGTGTACTTAATACAGACTCAAGTAAAAATTTGCAATTATCTGATAAACATGAATTTGTTTTTAAGTCAATGAATTATATTACTTTTGCTAAGAAATCTAGTATTAATCCAATTACACACTGGATTGTTGGAGATTTTTCTAAACTGTCTACTTTCAAATTGATCAAAAACACATTTGAACATTTGGTAAGTAAATAATTTACAATATTTAATCTTTAAATCAATATTATATAAATTAGTAAATATTATATTTTAAGTAATAAGTTTTTTGTAACATAATAATGTATGACGTAACTTATAATATTTAAACATATTCTACTAACAATGATCTCTGAAGCTAAAAGTAAAAAAAAATAACACCATCTTAATGTGATATTTGTTTTTTTTATCAATATTCTTAATATTATGTTATCTCTGTAGTCCGACATGGCGACATGTATGGGTTTAGGGCAGTGTTGGGCTATTGGAAAATCTGGCCTGGGTATTGGAAAAAACATTTAAAATAAATACAAACTGTATGTCCATTCATATATCAGTTAGAATTAAATATTTTCATTTTATAGATTATTATTATTAAGTATTAACATTACATACTGCAATTTACATATTTAAATAACTACTATTCATAAGCTTTCTATCATTTAATTAATAAATGTAGGCTATTTTTCATTCTGAAAGTGACTTTTCAGTACAATGAACAAGTGTATTTTGTAGTATTTTGAATTTTCCAAACATAACAACTGTGCAAACTGCAAACCATTTTTTAATGTTTTTCTGTAATCTATACTGTCTGCAGTTTTTATAAGCTCTTCAAATTTATCTCAATTACTTTGTATATCATATATGGTAGTACAACCAACACTATCAAATATAGGAAGATTATTTAATTTTTCACCGTTGTCAATTTTTTTTTATAATTTTGTATTTAGTTTATAAAGTGAATGTTGTATGTTTATGTTTTATTCCTGAAATCTCAATAATCTACAAACACTACAAATCATTTGACATATACAGTGTCTAAAACTACACTAATGTCTAATACAGATTCTTTTATGTACTAGAGGTTTAGATTAGGCATTATTCAGAATTGTATTAGCTTATTTATTTTATTGACAATTTCATAAAATACTCGTGTTCTGTGCAAAAATACAAAAGTTATGCACCAATCATCACGCGTTTTAGTCTTCCTAAACTAGAAAATTGGGCATGTCAGAATATTGTACAATCCGATTACAGATATTACATTCTATTAACTATTATTTATTTAAAACATAGTTTAAATTGTATAGCATATTAACATGTTTTTGTGTTATAGGTTTTATACTAAGGTAATCAAATATAATAAAGAAAACTATAATATAAATAAAAAACAATAATATTTTTAATAATTTTAAAGAATTGTGATTTTAAATATATTACTAATTTTATGGTAAAATGATTTAGTAGTTATAAACGATTATGTTATGGCCTAAATGTGAAAGTTATCCCGTTTATTCATTACTATTCTACAATAGCGATAACAATTATAAGACATTTTTAATTAAATGTTAGTCTTTTGTACCATATTTTAACAGAAATCTACTCTATAATCTATATAAATTGTGAATTTAGGATATCTCATAATTACATTTGTTTTAACTTTAACTTATTTTAATATTAATTTTTTTTTTTACAGAAAACTGATTCTGAATCACGTATAGGTGTAATTCCTAATCCGTCAAGTAACGATGAACATATAATCAAAATAAATAAAATAGTTTTTGAAGCTTTTAAACAGGAAGATAAATTGAATATATTAGTTACGCATTTATCACAAGCAATTAATGTTAATAAAAATCATATTGAAGTCATAAATTCACTACCAGTAAGATTTATATTCTTTGATTATAGTAATCTAAAATATTAATATTACATTTAATTTGGGTAGGAAGAGATACATTTTGATGTGTCAAAAATAGATATACAATTGTATAGAAATTTTGCTTTTGAAGCATTTAATTTTGAAAGTGGACAATGCGGTGTAATCACAAATGGACGTATTTTGGGTCCATTTGATGAAGATGAAGATTTCTTAACTGATGATTTTGCTTTATTAGAACAACATACATTGAAGGGCAGTGTAAACAAAATTCTTAATATACTTAAAGAATCAGGTATGTTAAAACTTAAAAATATATCAATTACTTGAAATATAAACTTTTTAACTGTTCTGGGTATTAATAAGTTTAAAAATAATGTAGTTATTTTTTGTATTAAAACTTAATATTTGACATACTAAATTAAACATAACTTAAACTAGTTAATATTATTGTATAGATGTAATGGATATTACAAGTGATATGATAATGAAAGCAAGTGCCTTAATTAGTAGTCGTTCTCAAACTAAAAATCGGCATTCTATACCTGATGTTTCTACTAAACATAGGTAAAATATCAATATTTATGGCATTTTATAGCTTTATTGCAATATAGTATATAACCCATACTTAGTATCTTTCATAAAAAATGTCAATTGTTTCATATTTTTTTTTTTTTATGAAGTGTTATTAAATTAACTGCCAACAATGAAGATGAACCAGTCTTCGAAATCAATGTTATTGTTGATCCTGTGTCTAGAGGTGCTCAGAAGGTCGGATCTATTATTTCTGTATTATCACGTGTACTCAATGCTAACATAAATATATATTTTAATTGTGTTGATAAGAACAGTGATATGCCTGTTAAAAGGTAAGATTGAATATAGTATATTCTTTATTGTACATATTTTTATATATTTTATATTTCAGTTTTTATCGTTTTGTGCTTGAACCTGAAGTCATTTTTGATAAATCTGGCCATTTGTCTCCTGATCCAATAGCAAAGTTTTCTAATATGCCCACTAGTCCATTATTAACACAAATACTTCATGTACCTGATAATTGGTTAGTTGAATCTATTGAATCTCCATACGATTTGGACAACATTCGACTCGAAGATGTTGAAATGGGTGTTTATAGGTTTGTAAGACTAATCATAACCGCTTAAGAGGACGTTTGTTGTCTTTGTCTTACGAGTGCGTAACATAGAAAATGTATGCTCAGGAGAATGCATTTAGCTCCGTTAGTTAAAACGTTTGAGTGAATCGACCTATTATGAAACTTGATGGTAAGCACATTATCTGTGTTTGTATGTGGGTTTTTTATAATAGTTCAATTTTTTAGCAAGTTATGCGTATATATTATACCGTAAATTAAAAATGCTCATAACTCACCTAAAAACTGAATTATCGTAAAAAACCCAAATACAAACACAGATAATGTTCTTACCATCAAATTTCATAATAGGTCGATTAACTCTAATTTTTAAACTAACTGAGGTAAATGTGATCTGCTGAGCATAAATTTGTTATGTTATGCAATTGTAAAACGGAAACTACAAATATCTGTGTAGAGTCCTCTTAATGCTAAACTAATATTTCATTATTTTCATTATTTTAATTAATTTAGTCGATATGAATTGGAATATCTGCTGCTTGAGGGTCATTGTTATGATTCAGTCAACATGAATCCACCTCGTGGTCTTCAAATGACACTAGGAACAAAGTCAAATCCAGTAGTGGTAGATACAATTGTTATGGCCAACTTGGGTTATTTCCAAATGAAAGCTAACCCAGGGGCTTGGATGTTAAGACTTCGACAAGGCCCTTCAGCTGATATTTATGACATTATTTCTCATGAAGGATCAGACCGTTCTCCGAACAGTATGGATATCAAAGTATTGATCAGTTCATTTCGTTCTCACATAATTAAAGTCAAAGTTGCCAAAAAACCTGGCAAACAAAGTTTAAATGTCTTGGGTGATGATGATGCTGAAAATAAAGGTTTATGGAATTCAATTACCAGGTGAATAAAAATTAACATTTAACTTCTTTACGTTTATTATTGATGTGGTGGTGAGTAAATGTGGCTAATAATTTGTGTCAGTCATCACTCATCACAATCTGTTTCTTTTTATATGATGCCACCATATCAGGAATGCTACCATCTAGGTCTTTATAGTGTATATAATTAGGATAATCTTCTGATGAGTTAGCTACTCATTTGTTTGTTGCAAATTACATTGAACAATTTTTTTTTCTGAGCTTTTATAATTTGAATATATTATTATATTTTATAAGGTCAATTTAGCCCTGGTTCTTATATTATATATTATAAATAGGGCCATCAAAACTTGTATTTACTTAGCCTTTTGAAAAACCTTAGCTTAATCTAAGTAAGATTCAAATTATTTTATACTTATATTAAGTTAAATATGTTTTGCACTTTCCTAATAATCCTTACTAAATCATTTACAAACCAAAAACATGTACTTTGTACTTTGTATTTTCTATTTAAACTATAAATCTAATTTTTGCTGAAATGCTAATTTTTTTAGCTAAATTGCCTTTGTTATTTACGATTTCTATTAGTTCTAATTTCTAATATTGTATAAAATTATATATTCTTATATAGTTATTATGTTATATTATTATATTATCTATTATACATTCTTTCATAGTTCTTTTGGCTCGGGTTCACCTGATAAATCAAATGACGAAACTATCAACATATTTTCTGTCGCTTCAGGCCACTTATATGAAAGATTTTTAAGAATTATGATGTTAAGTGTGTTAAAAAATACTAAATCCCCAGTCAAATTCTGGTTTCTTAAAAATTATCTTTCTCCAACTGTTAAGGTATTTATATTTTATGTAATGAGTTTATAATTTTTGTTTTAATAATTAGTGTGATTAATGACTATTACTTATGTATTCATTTTTTATTTCAGAACTTTCTTCCTATTATGGCCCAAGAGTATAAATTTCAATATGAACTAGTTGAATATAAATGGCCTCGTTGGCTCCATCAACAAACAGAAAAACAGAGAACTATATGGGGTTATAAAATATTGTTTTTGGACGTCCTTTTTCCATTAGATGTTAAAAAAATTATATTTGTTGATGCTGATCAAGTAGTCCGAGCTGATATGAAAGAATTAGTTGACTTAGATTTAGGTGGTGCACCATATGCGTATACACCATTTTGTGAAAGCCGTAAAGAAATGGATGGCTTCAGGTTAGTTTTGTCTAAAAATAATATTTTATTTTATTTTAAAATGCACTTGTTTAAAGATTTTGGAAACAAGGCTACTGGAAAACTCATCTACAGGGTCGTCGTTATCATATCAGTGCATTGTATGTAGTAGATTTGAAACGCTTTAGAAAAGTAGCAGCTGGTGATAGATTACGAGGTCAATACCAAGCTCTTAGTCAAGATCCAAATAGTTTATCAAATTTAGATCAGGTTAGATAAATAATAATAATAATAATAATAAAATAAAATATGACACTTTAATTGTTATATTCTTAAAGGATTTGCCAAATAACATGATTCACCAAGTTTCTATTAAAAGTTTGCCACAAGAATGGCTTTGGTGTGAAACATGGTGTGATGATGCATCCAAAAAATCAGCCAAAACTATTGATCTTGTAAGTATTAATATTGTAGTAAATCTTACTTTTATAAATGTAAGAATTATTTTTAATACATTGTTTTTTATTAAAATGCTAGTGTAATAATCCATTAACTAAAGAAGCTAAGTTGACGGCAGCAATGAGAATTGTTAGTGAATGGAAAGATTATGATAATGAAATTAAAAGATTACAAATTAAGCAAAGTGAACATGAAGATGAAGTTTTCAATGTTGAAACTCAATCAAAAGGTAACTTGAAATTGTATGAGGATGGAACAAAAATGCATAGTACTATCTGTCTAATATAAGCGTAATCTCTGGTGACGACTGATATTCGTCTGTTTGGTCAGACCACTTTCCTTGTTAAATTGTTAAATCAGTTTTCGTTATCTGCTTCTGTTTCTGACAATTGGTTGTAGTTGAAAAATTTCTTTACAATGTAAGTAGACGCCATATTCGTATGTTATGCGTTTCTAAGACGGAAACAACGAATTAAGGTATGGCTTCTTCTTAATGTTTGCAAAATGCAAGCTAAGCGGTTGACGGTTGTTGTAACTTGTAATAATAGAAGTGATACCCTTGAGAGCTTCGTACTTGGCGCGAATTAGCTGCAACCGTGTGCAAGTTACTCTTATATGGGACAGAGATGACAATTTTGTAAATTTTAATCATTATATTTATTTAATCGTTTTTAAAATATATTATTTTTTCTTATTTCAGGACCAGAAGTACACACAGAATTATAATGGATTTATATTTGAAAACTTTTACATAGAATTCAAATGATCTCCAGTTTTATTATGATAATATGTCTATTTATTTTATATCTATTGAAACCAACCAACTATTCATTGTTCCATCATTTTTACAACATTGGTTGATAACATTTTTGATTATATTATAATTTGTTTAGGAATAATAAATTAAAAAATAAAGATATTAAATTTATTTTAATTGTGAAAACTTTTTCCATTTTTTATTTTTGTGTTTATTTATCACATGGTTATAAAAAAAACATGAAATATTATTTCACAAAATAAAATCTCAAATATATATGAATTATTACAATTAATTACAGATTTGCCTTTTTACCAGGCTAGTACAGTTTTGACAATTTACATAGCAGCACCAATGGTATTTGCATTGACAGCGCTCCGTCTGTTCAATAGTTTGTGTAGTGTAGCCTCGGCCACAGCACATGGCTAGACAATTTTCAGTACCGATTGTTGTGGAGTTACACTTTCTAAGGTGAAAAAAGAAACACATTAATAACATATTAAATATGAATAAATGCTTATAAATCTAGAAAATTTCACACCTGCCGACTGTTCCATAACTGCCTACTCTCTGGTCATAATTACAATAATCTGAAGATTCGGTAATATACACCAATGAACTGTCTGTGTGTTTTGGAAGTCCGAATCGAATGACTTGAACCATTTCCACTTTCAACGGTGTTTTATTGTACAGTTTCAACAATTTGATGCCCACCCCAATGAATTTGTTCGGCAGACCCCTCCAACACGTTTTCACGTTACACGATCCCGACATGCCGTGACACTTGCAATGGGTTTTCACACTTGACATGACCACCTGAAAAAAAAAAAAATTAAATAAGAAAAGTTGTAGCAACATGATCCCCTTGCGAAACAGGCCGCCGCGCCTGCATTCTTCTGCAGGTTCTCGTCTGCGTGCGTATTGTTCTTACGACGCACGGTTCATTATGCACGATTAAAATTTATTGATTTATCTGTAGAGGATACGATACAGTTTTTAATTTTTTTCATCCAATCTTATTTTACTAACATTGTTAGTTAATAAAATTGGTTCGCGCGTGGACATAAGTCAAAATGCTATGCGATTATTTCGCTCAAAACAGTGTAGGTATTGACAATATCGACGTCCAAAGAAACATACACATAGGTAGGTAAACGATACGTCGATACATCTATTGCCTATAAGTATAGGTAAGCGTACCGTTTATGGTTTATTGGTTTCATCACTATTCACTATATATAGTATTTAAATAACTATAACTATACCGTCTATTGTCTATATCTACCTACTTATATTTTGAAATTTTATTTTTATTTTTTGAACCAATTTTCGTCCGATACAAAATATACAACGAAACGAATTATCTATAGATTGTTAAAGGTCAAAATCGTATAGATACATATTGGTATATCATACCTATTTTAAAATTGAGATATCGAACATTTAATCTTCTAACGCATAGGTTCTTAATCGGGGTAGATGGTTACTCGGGGGTCCACGGGGTGACTGTGAGTTTTTTAGATAACCCAAAAATAAATTTGTTTCGATGGCATTTTTATGATAACATTAATAATGTCTTACCCGCATTCTGCCACTAAGCCACAATCTTGTTGTGCTTGAAAATTAATTTGGTATAAAATTTAAATTTCATTCAATTATTTCGATTCTACATTTTCGAAATCAAAAACGTGAATACGCAATCTGCATTTTCTAGTGGAATTAAATACAATTAATGATTTAGACCTCGTTAAAGACGAATTAATATTGATTTAAGATCAAAAGAAATAAAACTCCAAGATTTTCAAACAAAAAATTTAATCGAATTTTGGTGTTCGCTGACGAAGGCTTATCCGCGAACTGTATCCATGGCAATGACATTTTTGATTCTATTTCCTACTACCTATCTGGCTATCTCTGTGAGTCTGGATTTTCTACAATGGTCACAATTAAAATAAAGCAAAAAATCGATTCGATATTAAGGACGATATGCGTGTTGCTCTGTCCAATACTGTCCCAGATTTCAAGGCAATATTACAATCAAAACAACAACAAATGTCACATTAAAATTGGTTTTTTGCTATAAGAAAAAGTGATAATTCACAATAATTGAATGTAGTATTAAGTCTTAGATTTATCATTAAAAAAAATTAAATATTAAAATAAAAATTTTATTTATTTATTTATATATATTTTTTTTTTTTGGGGGGGGGGTCCTTTATTATATTTTATACTTCATGTCTTCATGCAAAGGGGTCCATGGCCCAGAAAAGTTTACGAATCTTTGTTCTAACGCTATAAGACACAAATAGGTAGGTATAGCTACCTATAAGGTAGGCACTTAGATTCAAGACTCAACCAACTCAACAATAAATTTTCCTAACGTATTACGACATTACGTATGGGATAAGAATTAGATCTGTATTTATATCTGTTACAGGCTGCAGCAGATCTCTTGTCAATCCAAAAACTTGGGGAATTGGGTGCATACTATAAATAAGTGGTGGTTGAATGGTAGGTACCTTGGCGATCGACAGGTAGAAACATAGTCAGTCCCGTGAAAACAGACTTTTCAAGATTTTCCTTTACCAGAAAATAAAAGTCAACTGAATAAAATCCCAATTGTGATTTATATAATATATTATGACGTGTATACATTTATAATACAGAATACTAGCTGTCCCATTCGACTTTGTCTGGGCCCAGTGGCGTAGCCAGGGGGTGGTTTTAGGGGTTCAACCCCCCCCCCCCTCCCCCCCTTGGCCTTAAAAAAAAAAAAAAATGTTTTTATTGTATGATTTTAATACTTTTATTTTTATTATTATTTAATATTATTTTAGTATTTTATTTTATTTTATTAGTCAACTTCATGATAGGTTCATTGCACATAAATCTCTAATTACCAATTTTTGCTGTCTCTTACCAAACAATAATTTGCCAAATAGAGAAGAAAACATAAAAAGTTTGGCAGAAAAGTATAGTGAAGATCTTCAATGTAGTTCAGAATCAGTAATTTGAGAAGTATTGACATGGACACAAAAATTTGTTGGAACAGAAAAACCAAAAAATGCATTAGAAGCTCTTATAGTCTTATAGCATGTAACCCATTCATTTTTCCATCTACTTATAAACTTCTCCAAATAATAGCTACACTTCTCGTAACTACAGCAAGCAGTGAAAGGTCATTTTCTACGTTAAAAAGACTTAAGACATACCTTAGAAATACTATTGGAGAAAACAGATTAAATAGTTTAGCACTACTAAATATTCATCGTGAAATTATTTTAACAACAGATGAAGTTCTTAATGACTTTGCAAAAGACTCAAGAAAAATAAGATTGCTATAACTTGTAATTTATAACGTGAAAAAATATATTAACTTTAATATAAATATTACAATTTAAATTTTTTTATGTTCTATTTTTACTGGTTTATAATAATAAGTCAATAAGTATGTACTGCGTGTTTAATATTAACATAAATAAATATAATTATTATTCACCTTCAGTTAATAAAAAAAAAATGTATTACTAAATAAGCGTATAACTCGGTACATTTTAGCGCATTTAGTTTTACCACTCCTGAACAATATATTTTAGAGTTGAGCAAAATAAAAGTCATTAACCCCCCCCCCCCCCCCCCTCGGGTAATTCCTGGCTTCGCCACTGTCTGGGCCAAACATTTGTATTCTTAATAAATATATATTTTGTAAAAAAATATTTATGCCACATTTCTTTTAATATTATAATATGTACTATAATAATTAATAGTATTATAATATATATGTAAGTACTAAGTATGTAACCAATTGCAACCATTTATATACACTGATCAGTTGCCGACAACACTCGTAGGTAGGTAACTATTTTCTGTGGCCCTTCAAATTATCCATAGTATATCATGCTGTTTAAAATTTTATTTTTATATAATAAATTCAAAACTGGATAAATAAAATTGAATCATGACTATCATATTTACAACGATTTTCTTAAAACTTCTTTTAAAGAAAGTAATGAACTAAAAATATTTTATTCAAGTCTTTCCGAAATAGATTTTAAAGGGTATCTTTATTGTAAGCAGATATTTTCAATAGTTGAATATCGAAAAAATAAATATTATTTACGATTAAGTGACGAACACTTGAATGCAGTTTTGAAAATATAAACATCCGCAATAAGAGGATTTAAACAAATTAGCGGAAAAATTCAATCTCAAAAATCACACAATAGGAACTAAATATTTATATCCTTTTGAATTCAAGAATGAATCAATAATTTTTTTTAATTTTAAAATGTTCTCTTCTAATGTATTTTAATCAAACTTATAGTATAATAATAAGGACAACATCGCGAAGTGAAACTCATAATATGATTGCTGTTATCCATAAATATATTAGGTTGTGTTAAATGTTAAAATTTTTTATCTTAACATTAATTTTTATCTATTTATAAAATTGAGAACATATTAAAAATTAATATTTCTTGAAAAAGACATCGATAATGGCCGCATTATTTATTGCATTAATATTGCATTATTATTGCATTAAAATCACGGTTAAAATCAATATAAATATTTATAAAAAACGACCAAATCGTCTAATGATAATAATTTATAATTTGTAATTTAAAAAAACATCATGTATTTGTATAATATACAGTTATTATTTTGAGTTACACCAAACAATCAAGATCAATTTTGTCAAAAACTTATGTCTTGCTTAAAAATTACAATTTTTCCTTATTTTGTTTTTATTTTTTTTTTATTTTTGAAAAATACTGGTTTATTCTTTCAATTACCAACTAGAAAAGCAAGATACTATGATATTGACACACAAAAAAAAAAAAATCTACACACATTATTGTAAAATCATTGTCTTCATCGCTCCACTCAGAAAAAAATAATTTTATGTATGAAATATATTATATAATAATAATATTATTGTCATCAGTATCTAATTATTTATTATTAGAAAACTATGTTAATATAAATAGTTAGGTAGGTAGTTAATAAAATTATCAATGCAATGATCTTACAATATTCATTGTTTTTATACAAAAATACTATTTATGGTAAGTTTAAGTTTTTAAAAAGTACACAATCAAACTTACGATAAAGTTTCGAATACAATTCGTTATACTTATAGGTATGTGGTTAAAGATAACTTGCAAAATGACTGTAGTCTGTAAGCTATTAAATATTAAGAACGCTCTCTTGTACAATAATATTATACGATCTTTGATGTACGGTCCTCTTGTACTGACAGTACGTCAGTACTATATATAGTATATGTTACTAACATCATAGCCTACAACAGGGCCGTAGACACGGGGGGGGGGGTAGGGGGTTCAACCCCCCCCCCCCCCCTTGGAAAGTTTATAAATTTATTTAAAATATTTAAAACTACTAATATATCTTATATATTTAAAAAAAAATTTTTATCAATAATAGTTATTAATAATATTTTAGATGTTTGTGTTGTTATCGGTTATAAGTAAGGTATTTTGTGTATCGTCTAATGGTCGCAATGACAAATCACCATTACCATAACCGTTTTGTTACTGTGATAATTTATAATCTTATTATATGTTCATGTTGATAATACTGAAATTTAAGATAACATATTAATTAGGTATTATCAGTATTATAGTTAAAACTTTAAAAGTTAAAACCGTGCTAAAAAAAAAACATAGAATTGAGACAAATGATCAGTTTGGCCAATATCAGTATCAAGGTTCTTGACAATTTAAGGGAAAATGTAGATCATTAATTTAAAAAAATGTTCAAAGAAGCTCAAGTAATGAATGCCTTAAATTCAATTTTAATGTTCATTTTTTTAACTATAATTATATTTTTAAATAGAGATTGGCTGAGATGTTAGACTTTGAAATATCAGTCAAACAGCTGAAAAAGAGTCAAAATATTTTCAAAATTGTATGGTGTATAGGAAATGCTAATATAAACATTCAGTAAAATTTTCATGTATCTACAGTTATTCGTTTTTGTATTACAACAAAATAAGGAAATCGCTACATGAGAAATCGAGTGAATATCCAATGTTGTAAAAATTTTAATTTCAAACGCTCATAAAAATTTAACTTGACTGTCCGGTAGAGATTTTTTTATTGATAAATGTAGATAATCTTATTAGGAATCTTGTATTACATTTTCAAATCTTAGATTTATAAAGAAAAATTTTTACGAATTCTTAACTCAAAATAATTTGCTAATTTTCGTGATTTTTCCATATTTTGTCAATTTTTGAACTTTAAATGCTTATAAAAAAAAATTGTGACTAAGGATTTTTAATATTTTTCATCTGCCTTTGAAACAATATACTAGGAGCCTTTTCTTAAATTTTCAAGCTTTCGCAACCAACAAATAAAATTTTATTGATATTTTTAGAAAAAAAAACTAAAAAAAAATGGAAAATAAAAATGTGCCTAAACAGTTCAAAATAAATCAAAATATTTTGAAAATGTTATCGTGTATAGAAAATGTAAATATAAACAACCAGTGAAAATTGCATGTATATACGTTTATTTGTTTTAGAGTTACACTAAAAACCAAAATCGATTTTTTGGAAATCCGATGTTGCGTAAAAATTCCCGTTTTCCCTTAATTTTTATGTTGTTTTTCCCGGCGCTTGTGAAAACTACTATTTTTACTTTTGACCCCCAAAGTACCAACTAGATTCACTTTCCTATCAGAAAAGCTACTGTTGAAGAAAATCCAAGCACTTTTACTGTCCTAAAACGCGATGACAGACACAAAAAAAAACAAAAAAAAAAAAAGGAACACACATCATTGTAAAATCAATACATTCATCGTTTCACTCAGAATCTAAAAGAAAAATAGATCTGATATTATAACTTATAAGACACTAAAATAAAGATATAAAAATATAAATAATGTGTTATTTTTTTTTTTCATTTACTAGGTATAACATGTTATTATTATAATAACCCCCCCCCCCCCCATATAAAATTCCTGTCTACGGCACTGGCCTACAAGAAATGTTTAGTTTAGGCACAGAACAATGGATTTAGGTATTCGATGACAAACCAACGAGCGCGTATTGTTAGATTTGGAGATTGATTGTACAGAATGACTGTTTATATTTAAATATTATTCTTGTTGACATTGATTTTGACATTGACACCGCCTATAAGTCATTGTAAATCTGTTTTCAAAAAAAAACTCCCACAAAAATTTGGTGTCCTCCAAAAAAGTGCTGCCTAGGGCAATTGCACTCAATTCCCCCCCCCCTAAATACACCACTGAAGTAATATATAATTGATATAAGTTTAATTGAAAACGACACAGTAGTTTTCTGAGACTATTAATTTCGGATGAACCAACATCCAAGTTAAGTTGTATAACCCGAATTTGCCTTTGAAGGAACGAAAGAATTCAAAATATAGTCAGAGACATGCCCATGTCCCCCCTATTCACCGTATTTTATACTTTTTTATTATTGAGAGTATTTACCTAATTAGTCTCTCTTATTTTTCACGGACGGGCGCACGATGACGCATATTATCATGATATGATATCATTGATATTTGTTACCAGTTGGCACTTACCACCGATTTAAATTATGAGATAAGTTTACCGGTAACTGTCGGGAGTTTACAGTGGCGTACCCAGGATTATGAGAGTGTTTAAGTATAGACTAAAAAGTCTAAAACACCAAGTTTTTACAGTTTTCGTATATAAATAAATTAAGGATTCGGGATTTGACTTGTTGCACTAAAAATTATAGAAATATGTTGTCAAAATTGTCAAAATATGCAGCTACATTTTGATATTATTTTTGAAAAATTCATAAAACATATTACAATTTCGGTAATAAAAACTTAAAATTAAGTAGGTATATAAACATGATAAAAATAATTTATACACGGGTTTATTAATTTTAATATAGGTAGGCACCTATATTGATTATTGATTAATATGATGGGCGGAGGACACTATTGCATGTTTTGTACATTTTTAAACTGTTGTGAAATAAAACAACTTGATTTTTAAAAATACTGGCATAAAATACTAGGTTAATAAATAAGTAATAAAAAATAACGTGAAATGCGAACACCGTGATAAACGACGACGTATCTACTGATTTTCATTTCTTCGTACAATCTAGAATCTAGATGTCAATTATAGTTTTACACAGTCTTGTCACAAATAGACTTATAAAATCTTAAGTACCATATTCGAAAATAGGGCCAACCGTAGCCAAGATCCACCAACAACTTTAACAGCCCTCCCAAACATTAACTAAAATTGTTTAAGCTTATTCAATTTTATAATAGTATGGTTTTAGGCTTCGACCTTCCCAAATCTCAAAATTAGCGCCTATTGTACCTAACAAAACATAATATATTTTTCAATGTTATCCAAATATGATTTTTTTAACAATTGTATGTACATTTAAGTTAAAAAAATGCAAAATATGCACAAATATGGGAAAAATCCCTCAAATGTACACTTTTACTAAAATATGCAAAAAAATGCAAATTCAAACTTTGTTTGATAAGACATATAAAAAAATTTCATAAGACAAATTTATAACTTATCTAAAATAATAAACGACCACTACAATAAATCATGCAAGCAGTCCCGACCCTATAAACAATATATTTATTAGGGGGGAAATGTCAAGGGGGGGGGGGTGTTTGAACACCCAAAACCCCCACTGGCTATGCCACTGGGAGTTTACACTGTAGTGCTAGAACATCCATATGACTCTGAGGATGGCAATAAATTAGACAGTGTTTGCCCGACATTATAATATGTATGGTTGCAGTAAGGTAGTGTGGTTAAATACTCCGATACCAATGCGGGGCCTAAGTAGTAACATATCATACTTAGGTCCAGTGGCGCCGATATAGACTACTAAGTGGGGTAAATGTCCCAGAGCATTTTTATTGGGTGGGTGTCCCGTACTCCCGTGGAGCCGTGTAGGTGTGACATGGGGATTTGCATTTTTTATAATATCAATAGAAAAAAATGTTTCAATGTACCCATACATAATATTAGTATATTACGCATGTATTATGGATAATATAATTATGATGTACAAATGTACAATATTATATAATATGGCATCATGGTGACATACCTACTTTTGAGGTGGGTTTGGTGAGACTAGACATTTTTTTTTACCCCAACGGCTTACAAGAAAATCGGTGTTACTCATTCACGGATTAATAAGGGAGGGGGGCTATTGGGTCTATTTTAAACCTAACCTTTGACATATTCTGTCATCTTGGCCATCAATATTTTTTATTATAAATTACGTAATCTAAAATAGAAAGGTATAACCTTTTTGAGTATCTCTTGTTAACATTGTTCGGATTCACGCCTGGCGCCAATACCTATAGTCACTTACTCACCTATAGGTATACGGTTTCGTGTACAATGCACAAAGTATTTAGTGTCTTACTTTTCGGCCTATTTTGTAATTGTGTTCGTCGACTATAGACATAGCTCTCTGTTCGCGCTGTACCGCATCTTCGTTGGCGTTGACCGACAAGTCTTCGTCGCCGTCGCCATTGTATTCACCCGACGCCAAAGGGATTTCGTTCTTCACGAACTGTCTGGCGAACTTGGCGCCCCACCGAACGTTGTCGTCGCACCCGCTCCACTTAAACGTGCCATCCGTGTCTTCCGGGTGGGTGCCGCACCCGCAGCTCGGCAGCATTCCGGACGCGCAGTCTCTGGTCATGGTGTACGTCAGAGCGGCCGAGCTGAGTGCGTACGCGAACGACTGTTCTTTCGTGCCTGCAGCAGATTAATAGATTATAATTTATTGTGTGGCGACACCGAGCCTACATGTTTTCGTCCGAATTCGATCTTTTGGTTTTCGCCCAAAGTAATATTGTTCATCGTAAACAAAAAAAAACATTTTGGTCACCACTGTTTTTTTTTTTATTGAAAATTTATTTAAGCTTTTAATTGATAAAAGTTAATGTCAACATACATTATAAATACAACCACATACTTATGTAGGTATAAGGCATTTTTAAAAGAATAGGATAATATATATAGAAAAAATCAAATTATTTCTCATAACTATGGAACATGGATTTGATAAGCTCGTACCATGTGAGAAAAACTGTTTTTTATCGTGTGATTTTTCAATTTATTACTATTTTTTAAAAAAAATTTTTAATTTTTATTATATTTAAATTTACTTATATGTTTTACGCTTTTTTTCGTTTACGATGAAAAATATTACTTTTTTCTTTGTTGAGTTTAAATAAAAAAAGGTAATTTGGGCGAAAATCAAAAAGTCAATTATGGGAGAAAACATGTTGTTCCATGATACCGGTGACCGGTATATTATATTATGAGTAGGTATTAAACTGTATTAGGCATGCAATATTATATTATTGTCTCGATTTAATCATTTGTGAGACGTTTGCCATAAATTCGTATATTTAAGTATATATTATTATGGTGCAGGGCATAACTACTAGGGTACCTACCTACCTACTTACGGGCTGAAATAGTTAACCCCAAAATTATAAGGGCTTAATTGTTCCCTCGATTAGAATCTAAATTCTACAGGAACTGCACCCCTCCGACCGTCCCACAGATCTGGCACTGATTCTTTACGATAAGGAATCCAATAAAATAATATTATTATAACTCATAATATTTCACTACAAGATGTCAAGATGTATTATATTATAATAATATAATAATGATGGCTCATTTTTTAACACTAGTAGTAATATCCATTAGGTAAGTATATGTATTTTAAATTATTTTCAAAAATATTTTGTAATATTAAACAATTTCAGATAGGAATCATTTAATTACAATCATAATATACCTACCTAAATGTTAATATTGTCTTCAGTGAGTTAGGCTAGGTATGCATACAATTCTGATTATTATAACGATTCCCATGTGTAGACGGCAGATGTTTATTTAGTAATATTTAAAGGGGGTGGCAGAGGGGCGATGGATAGTCTTCCAATATAGCAAAGCCTAGCAAGCCTCGACATCCTCTGTTGACTGTTCCATGTCGTCAATTGTTTAATTATAGAATGATTGTACAAGTACACATATATATATAACAATAAACAATGTTTTAAATGTCTAGTGGGGAGGTTGTAAACAAGGAAGGGGGTTAAATCGAGTCCCATTCATCGTCCACCACATTATAATATAATTACGCCTCCGCTAGTGTGCCGTTTGTAATAAATACACTGCAGATAATATCTATATTAGACATTAGTATTATAACATGTATATTATATTATATATTATATATATATAGTGAGAGAGAGAGAGAGAGAGAGAGAGGGAGAGAGTTCTTACTTCAAACGAGTATATAATATATAACCTATTAATCCCTCGCGGTATGCACCTTTAGGATATGACAACTGTCGTCGACTTGTATACAACTTGTCATGTTTGTCCGTGAAAAAGATGTATGCGTTTGAATCAGAAATAAAATGTGATGTTAAAACGCGCCTATATATAAACGCCGCACGCATATAATTAAAATATTTATATATATTATTATGCATTATATTCGGACACGGAGTGAATGCCTATATAATATACAGGATGTAAGAAAACTAACAAATGTAATAATTATATAATATGCAGTATTACAGTGTATATTATAGGTAATACCTAACTATTGAGTGCGAGTCTAATAATTATTCGTTAAATATATATTTTTTACTATGAACACAATAACTGAGCCGAACAAAAATGTGTTTTAAAAAATGACTAGAACAAAAGTCATTACACAGTAATAATACGCGGTATAGTAACAATTACATATTTTGCAAGTTGTCTGTGACTTCTGTTACACCCTGTACACGTTGTATGGTGTTTCAAGCTATTATGATAATAACGTGTCGGGGAATACGTCGGGAACGTTTAAAATAAAAAGAGTAAAAAAAAAAAACTGCTGAAAAAAATAACGAATAAACTAGTTTGTCAACCTTTGACCAGCTCCGGCGTGAGTCCCGGCGCGGACCGCACCGACGAACAGTTCCACCGTCTGTTTTGCAAGACCGACTGGCAAGCGACCACGGCCAAGGCGGCGGCCCGGGAAACGTGCTGCATGACTGGACGCCAAGACTTGCAAATGCGCGCTTGACGCGAGTCCAGTCCGTAGGTTTTGCGCAACGTCCGGCAGACGCCCACGTCGTTCCAGTCCACTTTGCCGGCCGCTTTCTGCATGCCCCTGCAGCGAACGCACGTTATAATAGTAATAAAAATTAACAATAATAGTAATAGTAATAATAATAATAAAAATTAACAATAATAGTAATAGTAATAATAATAATAATAATAATGATAATAATAATAATGATAATGATAATGATAATGATAATGATAATAATAAATAATAATAATAGTCATACGAAACACAATTATTACATAATATTATTATTTATTAGCGTAAGGTCTAATCTATACCGTAGTACATTGTAGTAGTAATATTACCGTAAAACGATGTGAATAATATAGAGATTCGACTATTCGAGCTTAAGATTAATGATAAATCTAATTTTTTTTAAATTACCATTATGTATATAAAGTACAAAATGTCAAAATGTAAGTAAAAGTCCCCAAGAATAAAGTTTTTGAATCACAACCAAATAATTATTTAAATCGTTATTCATAATAATTTCATCTAAATTAGGTATTTAACTAAAAAAATCTTATTTATTTTTTTTTAGATTTTTTAGTTACGGTATTAAATGTTTTCAAGAAGCTTTGTATTGATTCGTCAAGCTTTACCTATAAAATTTCAAATTTTTTTTAATTTCTAGCTACAAAATAATTTGCCAATTTTAGTGATTTTGATGAATTTTGTCAACATTAATTTAACATCAAATTCTTATGAAAAAACTGTGCCTATATATTTTTAATATTTTTAAATGGCTATAATAAAAACTTATGATGAACCTTCTATTATATTTGCAAGCTTTTCGACCAGAGTGACATTTTTTTTATCGATATTTATTGAAAAAATAAATATTTAAAAAAGTGTGTATTAATATTTAGAGTCAAAATATTTTGAAAATTATACCATGTGGCATGTACCTATGTATAAAAAATTCTGATTTAAACATTATGTGGATATTAAAAGTGCCTACGGTTATTTTTGAATTACCTACCACAAAATATGAAAATATAGATTTTGTCAAAACTAGTTATGCGTAAAAATGTAAAATTGTAAAAAGTCCAGTTGTTCTCCAGTTTATCTAACATTGTTCTTATTATCAATAGTTCTGGACATTTCTGATTTTTGCCTCCCGATAGTACAAACTAGATTCACTTTCGCATCAGAAAAGATATTGATATTGAAAATCAAAACATTTTTCTTCTACACATATTGTAATACATCGCGTATACACACACAATTAAATATAAACCATTGTAAAATAAATACATTCATCGCTGGAAACCTAAAAAATTCAGTATTTCATTTATTATTTTCGTTCCATTATATTTGTCGAGGCTTAGTTAAAAAAATTCCTATTTTTATTATTAATATTATTGATTTCAAATTGAATATGATAATATCACAACATATACAACTAACCTGTGACGATATGATCAAAACGAGATGGTAACACCTGTAACTTTTTAAATTTTATATACGAATAATATAATCACTATCCGCCTATTTCTCTCGTGTTATTAGATTTTCCGCTCCACCGAGTTTGAAACGAGTTAATTCCGTGTCACGTGCCACGGCTTGAACTACCTAGGTACTTATCTTCAGATATATTATACCATAGATATGTATCTATAGTAAGCACATTACACGTAATAATATGTTTATTTGTATAACTATAATATATATATTTATATTATATAGTATTAATATATTAATAAATTAATAAATGTATCCATAAATTGATAAATAAGCGCATAATAGGTATAGGTAATAATATACATATATACTTATTAGTTATTACTATATTACTATATTAGTATATTAGCGAGCGAACACAGCTCATTGTACAAGACTTGTCCCACCTCGTTGCAATATAATATATAGGTTACCCGTCGATGATTTTTTTAATACAATATTTTTTTAGAACTATTATTATCAGCATTTATAATAGATGGCCACATTTACAATCATTTATATTAAACTAAAGCCCAAGCCGCGTAATAGTATAGTATAGAACATAACCTGTATAATAGGTATAATATCTTGCCTGCAGTATAAGCCATAATAAATGAAATATGAACTTGCCCTGCAAGGCCTGAATGGGACCTATTTAAACTAGATTAAATCATAACATTAACACAAAACAATTCATAAAAAAAACTATATTTATAATAAATTTATAATTGTAATTGTAATTAGTGTCTAAAATATTTAATTATCCTATTTTAACTTAAATCATGGATTACTTGTTTGTCTATTCTCTCATTCTCATATATAATATAGTCTCAAATCTACAGTGTATATTCTCAAATCAGATGCAAGGAGGTATAATTGGCACAAGGCGGTGACTGGTGAATGGGGTTCGTGGCCTGAAAAGTGTCTTTAACAATTAAAACTTTTTTCAAAAAAATTATAGTTTATACTATTTTTCATCATGATAATTTTTTTTGTTAAATGCCTATATTATACATTTTCAATTTAATTTTATATTTCGAAGCTAAATATTTTTAGTTACAGTTTTTCAATGCATACAAATCAAATTTCGAATAAGTATAGGTATAGTTAAATATTCACAAGTATTTATAAAGTTTAGTTGAGTAGATTTGTAGACTTTACAACTTGTAGTGGACAAAAATCTTGCGGGAGTGACTTTATGGTGTATAATAATGAAATTTCAACTAATGATAAACTATTACCACATTAATTATTAATAATATGATAATGATATTAAGTTTATCTAATCCTGGTTATAAATCCATAGTCGTTCATCCATTACAATTTCAGGGGGGGCTAACATTTTTAACACCGTTGTGAGTGGGGGTGCTTCGATCCTACACAACTAAAAAATTGCATATTTTTGGGGGGCTAATGGGATATTTGGGGGTGGGGGCTAAGCCCCTTTAGTCTATGGTTAAAACCACGGACTAAGATATATCTTAGTCCTTGGTTAAAACACGTGATTGTGGGGCCAATTTAGTAAAATATGCTCAATATTGTATTATATTATGTTTTTTAAGTTTCAAGTTTACAATGCTGTATAGTTTAATACTGCAATTTTATATTTTGTCATGGTCTAGAAAGGGGACCTGAAGCTCCTTAGCTACCCCTTGGGTATACCACTACTATATAATATGTATATTCTAAGTAGTGAGTACATATATTAAGGAAACGATTTGGGCAGCTGCGAATAAATATAATATATATATATAGCCATATAGGTATTAGGTATAGAAACGGATTAAAATTACAAACAAAACCTGTCAAATCGTTAAAATTTCACGATAGAAATCAGTTTATCGTCTTATTTTCTCGTTCGGTTTATACAATTTAAAAGAGTTAAATGGTTTAAACTATAAACATGTTTATTTTATAGTATATAATAATATGTATATTTATTTTACTGTTGAATATTAACATTTCGTTCGCGTGTCTTGATGATTATCTTTTTAAAAAATCGTAGGTATGTACCAATACTATAATACCAATTTCCAATACATAAACCGCGTATGTCGATCGATTTTAAATAATATGTATACTAAATATAAATTATAATAATGTAATATGTATGGTCAAATTTTCTACAGTTTGGTTTAAAACAATTTCGAAATTTATAATAGTTTTCCTTGATAATCATATATCGCGCCAACGGCGGTTACATTATAGCTAAACTTGTATAATAATATAATAAAATATCGTCACCGTTATAATGTACTTTCGTAACCATTAATCATATGTAATGGTATAGTTATAGGTATAGGCACACATCAGACATCTCCAGTACATCACACTAGAGAAGGTATCTGAGTATACTAAAATACCGATAGGATCTCGTGCCTGTACTCGTGTGACTTGTATGTATAGGTACTAGACATATTTTTATTGAAAACTTTATAAACAAACTTCTTTTGTCCAGCCTATAACTATACACAACACGTACCTATAATATCAGGACAAATATTGGTCGGAATTTCACGAACTAAACACGTGTTGTTCTAAAACGAAAACGAAATATTAAATTACATAGCAATGACTGCATGGCTAGGAATAATGGACTGTAATCAGAGTAAGACACGCTGCGGTGTTTAAGTCAATATATTTATTTCTCCCGAGAGTGACATGGCGCGAGAAGTAGGTACCTATATATATTCAATGTAGGTAGGTACTATATATATATATATAGGCTGAAGGTATTTATCGGAGCTACAATCAAACATGAATCGAAGTTTGAACTACCTACCCATATTTAATCTATATAGGCTATATATACTAAAACGTATACATGTCACACGTATCAATATATGTGTTGGATCCGTAATAATATGTCTATATAACTAAATTCTGTATATTATGTATAAAATATGAGTGACTCGAGATCTACTTAACGAACGTCTAACCGGTCCAAGTCCGCATTACGATTGAATAATACATATATTAGGACCTATGTGTAATAATCTATATCTATATAATATACTGTTGTACCATCATGCACAATATAAAAAACCCCCTAAACCGGCATACGCATATTTATTGGCCATAAATGTATATTTTCACCCCGAGTGTCCAATTAGGTAATTTATGTTTAGGTGGTACACCATATATTATCAACATTATTGTATGGGGTAAACTCTACGATGCCAAAAAAACAAAAAAAAAAACCTTTTTCTAATATTACTTCCCCAATTAAATTTTATTTGTTAGGTATTTTGTAAGACCACCACCGCCGCCGTTCTGTAGCATTAGATATAATATGTATGTAATATATTATACATTGGTATCTTATTAGCCATCTTATTATAATACTTATCTTATATCTTTTGTCATCGATCTCTCCGAACGATTTCCAGTGAACAATTATCTCTATGTGAGTACACTGGGCTTAATATGTATTCTATAATAATATACGTTATATATTATATTATTATACGTTAATCCAGTCATGCGATGAAAAAAAAAAACTATCATAACATTTAAATTTTACCATTTTTACCTCCCGCGGTGTTGAAAATAATATATAATATAGGTATAGGTTTATACTATTTAAGTTATGCTATTGC